TGTTATCAATAATGGGACAGATATATTTGTGTACTTTCTTGTACTCCCATATTACATGCACACAAATAGACATAAATAATGTGAGATCGTTTGACTACAAGGGATTTACTTAATTGATTAAAGTAAGAAAAAAGTAAGTTCTGTTTTTTTTCTTCTTCTGATGCTTAACATCTACCTCAGCAAAATTGGTATCTTTGTACAATATGTATTCGTACAACAATTTTGGGGCAACTTTCTTCCCTAGTTGTGAAAATTATTAAGATAAGCAGTAAGTGGTTTTTAATTTGATGCTTCTTTAGCTAAAATAAAAATCATCATTTCAGGCTTTAAAAGTTAGATCAATAAATAAATAACTTAAATAGATTTTTCAACCGCTATATTTTAATATTTTTAAAAACAAGAGTGACAATTGTTATTTTTACCTTCTGGGCTCTGATTTTCCTTTATTGTAAAGTAAAGGTTTTGTTATTAAATACAAAAAGTCTTCCCAATTAAAGATTGATGATACATGTACAACCCCACCTGGTGCGTCACATTTTCAACAAAATGGCTGTGCCCTGGCATTACATCATGCCAAGAAATCATCATTTCTATATCTCTTGTACACGTTCATATTTAGATTTATTCTACCTCAAAAGGCAGGAATTCGTCTCTTTTTCAGATTACCTATATTTATTATTGGGGGTTATTTATCCTTTAGTATGAATTATTCACAGTTGATCGAAATTGTAATAAAATGCTGCTCCCATTTGTTGATTTTTTTTCTTTCTTTCTGTTCACTTGATAAATTAAGGGCTACATGCACATGTAGTTTAAGACTTAATAACTTTGTAACACAAATGAATTATATGCTAATTCATGCAAATGTATCCATAATCATGACAAATATTGTAGGCTGGCTTATGCAGCCAAGGCTAGGTATGACACTATCTTGCAGAGAGCATGACAAAACACATGTTCAATCCTTGTTTGCCTGTGAAGAACTGCCAGAGATTATGCATACTTCTCAACCTCGGGGGTTTATTGTGCATATACATGTATTTACATGTGTATTTGTATTACAACTCCAAATGTAAATATTCAAATCTAGAGCTCGCGAAAGAAAGAAGTTACATGAATATACATAAATTGCCTTGAATAAAAATGTGGTTGGCATCCCTGAAACCTGCACATGTCATCAGGAGCATACATTATAATTACTATGTCCCTTGTGCAGCCAACATCAAATTATGTAGAACTTTGCAGGAATTATGAATATGTCATGTATGTCCTATCTGTGATAGACTTCACTGTCAGACACTATTGAGTGACTGACTGGCCTTTTTTCTTCTTCGGTAATAACATACATAAAATGAGCTGTAAAGGGTACATGAGCATTTGTCTACATCAATAACCCACTTCTTGTAATGGCCCAAATTAAACTGATTGAATCTTTGCTCAGCATAAAATGTACGACCATTCGGTACAATGGTCTGAAAATCAGACTATTACTTCCTGGCTCTAGCTTTTTAGACAAGTTCAAAATTAGTATTATCTTTCAAATGCCGTTGGAATTTAACCTTTTCATATTTTTGGCCTCAAATGACTTATACGCTAGATGATCAACCTATTCTGATCGAAACCACAACGTTTCTTTCACAATGCAATCGCATGACCATAACTGGTCTTTATCTTTAAGCTCAGCGTCCGCTTGGACTTTTATTAGAATAAACAGGTCTGTGACGCTACCTTTTTCATCGTCAAAACATCCGCCGAGAGCCAGAAGGGCATTAAGTTTAGCGTATGATAAATAGTGTATTACTAATGTCCTTCTAGCTCTCAACGATCGGATCACAAAACAGACCCAATATGCCATTTTCATAATGTAATCACATTTCACGCAAACGTCTTTGTGAAGTGCCTCAATACGAATGAGTTCAATTACCTGTTTTAAATATCTCAATTGTCCAGAACTCAAACATGGGTTGTTGCTAGAAGAGACAGAAAATTTGGCTTGCCCTACCCATGGACCCTACTACAGATGGACTAATAATGAGAGTCTTTCTTTGATCAAATTATGACCACCGCCACCTGATAATGTGTATGTTGATGAGGACATTCATTTGACGCGACAATGCTGAATATGTAATACCGCATCATCACAGACGAAAGAACCTTTTACATTTATTCAGGTTCTTCTCACTGGGCCAGGGCCAAGAGTGTAATTTCAGGAAAAATGTCGTGATTTAAGACCAGTTACAGGAGCAGTGAACCCCAAATTACGAAAATTTGTGTGATATTAGAATGATTAATAAAGAAATGGACACTGGTGGACATACATTTGGACTTGCCAAACTTTGAAAAATACCTATACCTTACTGTCCTATCACCTTCTATGTCTTGGAAATGGATAGGATAAGTTTTTTAATGAAGTTAAAGTTTGAAGTTGAAATTTACAGGTATCTCTTGTAAACTACTTCTAATTTCCTATTGAAAACTTAAACATGCATTTCCGTGATTTTAAGCGATTCAGTTTCTTTTGTGCAGGCATTTTTTTTTTATTCTTCAAGGCACAGTTTGGGTTTTTTATGGCTGACTGGCGGCGGACGTGATGAGATCAAAGCTTTGAAGCATGTTTGGAATGTTTGACAGAGTCAGGTGCATAAAATTATTATGGTACCGATTAGTGTCCATTTGTAGAAGGTCCATACCCTACCTAACAACATGGAATACCTGCAATTTGTTTCTTTCTAAATGCAACTATCCGTAACGGGAGAAAGAAATAATTCGAGGCTTTTCACAATACTGTATGCATTAAATTTGGAAACATTAATAAATGAGCCTCTTCTTAGCATATATTCTCTTGAAATGGCAGATCTCAAATTTATAAAAAAAAATAGCTAAGTCGATATAAATACTCAAATACAGCCAGTTTACGCTGTTTCCATTGTTTATTTACGATACATCAGCTCTCAGACGAATTTTTTTTTTTTTTTTAATTGACGAAAAATTCAGACAAATTTTGCCAATGCCTAGAATACATTTTACATTACTTTTTTACATATTCATTATCTCATTAATCAAGAATCTACAATTCCCCCTTCTATATCTCTGTATAAAAAAAAAATCCGATACAAATGACTTTATAATGATTTCTTGAACGTTCCTGCTTTTGTTTTTCTGAAAGAAATTCTCATTTATACCTCAACAGTCTTTTACACTTCACATACATCCAATGTGCATTGAATGATCGGTCTGGACTATACAGTGCCGAAGTCTGTGCAGTGTTCTCGTCTGTACATACGCGCAACTAAAATGATTCTAATGAAAATAAACACCGTCAAATACTATTGTGGGGGGTCTCTATCATAGGATACGTATTCATGCAACAACAACAAAAAACAAAAAACCGAGTATAAACAACTTATGAGAAAAGTCTAATTTTAGTAGTTTTATTCACATCTGAATTCCACAACATGTAAAATAAATGAGTGCACAGACCTTTCTATTTCGTAACGTCAAAATGACACAGCCGCCTTTTCTCGAAAAAATACATTGCTTTTGTTAGGATTTTGATAACAATTTTTCCCAAATTTACTCTTTAGAATATAAGGAATAATATGATATTAAGCTTTAAAACGAATATAAGAGGAAATATAGGGTTCCCCATCATAAAATAATATACATGTATACCTATTGACAAACCAGTATCAACAATGCATCAATAAATTATTGAAAAGTACTCTGCATAAGTAAGTGAGTATCAAGTAAGAGAAAAATGTAAAAACAATAATCTACATACCGACACAAGAAAATATGGATCGATATTTAAGCGAACAGAATATTCAAGATATTACATGAAACGCTAAATTACCTGTATAAAAATGAACTTACTAAAGACTATCATTATTCATATACATCAGACATTTCTGAGTAAGTGAAGGTTAACGAAATTATGTATCTATATACATACAACTCTTAACACACAAGCACCAACTTGCTAATGCTATAAACTGTCTCTAATATGGTTTTGTGAGTGACAATCATATCTATTAACAAAAATGTATTCTGTATCAAACATTAGGCTCCTACACACTTGTATAATGTTTTGGTTGAAGCAATGCAATTGGTATATTCTGTATCTAACTTTAGGCCCCATACACAACAAATCAATTATTGACATACCATACGACCATAATACATCTGAACCGATTAACATCAGAGTGAAGACAATGAAAAAACAAGTTTTACTCTGTAAACATACCATGGTTGTTCACAATCTAAAAACAGATGGATATCATTTTACCCTTTAAGGCTCGTTCAGATACGATGCGGCAAAACCGAAGCCGTTTTTTCATAATGACGTCAAGTTTAATATGCTTTACATTTCTGTATCTCATATTAACACAGAGCTCAGTGAATACATGCAAGTCCTTTGATTTGTGCAGTTGCTATTCATTTACGCGTGACAAAAAGCGACAGCTTTTTGGGGGCGGGTCACTGCACCATATCTGAACAAGCCTACAATGCGTATAAAAACGTGTGTCTAATTTTCGTAGCTTCTAAATTATAAGTAGTAGTTTTGGTGGCCTTGAATTGTATTTTATGTTAAAGGGTTTACAACCAATACACTGTCTAATTATACCATATTTATAATTGTGCTGCCATGGATGACAGACTTTTCAAAAAGTATTGTCAAAATCCTCTTTTTACCAAGTTTGACAAGTGGGTAGAGAGAACTTAGTAGGCTGCTTTAAATTATCAAAGGTTAACCTATGGATCGAAAGATTGTTCTGTGGAATTCTAGATACATTTACTTTGCATCATTATAAACAATGAAGCACTGAAGCAGGAGACTTAAAATTTAAAAGGATTTAGGACCAAAGAAACATATGCATATGGCCTGACATGCACTTGTTTGATCAATCTAAACTTGGTACAAGGCGATTTTGACAACATTTTTTTAAGTCACTCGTGGCACAAATATTATGAATAGGTTATCATTGGACAGAAAACAAGTTACTCTTCATCATGAAATAGATTTAAAATTCACATTGGTTTTGAAATTTTAATTAGGAGCTATCAAAATTCGGATACCTTTTTTGTATGCACTATTATATTGGCTAAAATGCGAACTTGCATGCTTGTTGGGTGGAAAAAAAAGTATTAGGTATGATGTACCCTAATTGGGTACAGATTTATCCAGTAATATTTTATCTAACAAACATACAAGTTTCAAATTTACTCAATTTTACCCAACGGAGTAACAGAAAGGTAACAAATATTGTATTTACATTTTGGGAAACAAATTAACTTGACCAGAAGATATATTTTAAAAATGCTACATATTCTAAGCATCCACCATGCACACAAACGATTAGTATTTCAATGGTTCATATTACAACAAGTATGTTAATCTTTTTGTTTAATGTTATCTTATATGAACACCAATCGAAATATCTAAATACAGCATTCCATAATTGTTATTTTGTAGCTTCAGATATGATGTCAGCGAATGTCAATACTTCAAGTTTTGTTGTGTCAGTTTTGTTTTTTTGTTAATCTTTCAAATTGTTTTAAGTAGAGTGATTACTGTTGACTAGACTCAGAGTTTTACAAATGATTGGGCCTATACCAAAATTGAATGTTGAAAAGAAATGTGAGTAATTTAGGGTAATGCATTACTCACATACTTCGTCATGGATATTTACATCAATATCAGATTCACTCAACACAGACTTGTTAATCGAATTCTCTGTTCCTGTCATCGTAGTCTGTTTCATACTCATCGGACCTGCATTTGTCGTCAAGGGTGAATCGTGGAGACAGCAACCCATGTGTTCCCGCAAATGCGCACGGCTTTGCGGTTGTCGGAGAACGTAGAAAACAAAGATGAAGAATCCTTGGAGAGAGTTGAGTAGAATGAAGATGACATGGACTGCGAGATTGAGTTGTTCGATCACGGTGAAGTATCCAACGAGCCAGGTCAAACCAAATAGGAGGAGGACGCCGATCCCGTTTGTGAGACGGCGCATGATCTCGTGGCGGGCTTCTGATTTTAACTCGCTAGCATTCCTGCCACCCGATTTGATGCGCATGAGACGACGCATAACGAGAGCGAAGATGATCAGATTAAGAGCGAGAATGAAGGCCATTGGGATGAGCAGACCGCCTACGAGTGGCCATTTCTGAAGAAAACAGCTGTGCAATTGAAAATGGAAATAATCATCCTAACATACGGATAGACAAAATGCTTAATTCTGGTAGGGTACATGCATTAAAAGGGATGCAGAATATTGAACAAAAGAAGTAAATAAAGACATACGAAAGATGTTCATCTTGCAGGATGCAAAGTAACCGAAATCAGATAATATTCTGTGGTTTACCCGGATGAGTGCAAGACGAACAGATTGACTATATGCCTTTATTCCATGTTACATTCCCCATACAAAGAATCTTGCGCTACGATTGGTCAAAAGTAAATCACGTGATAACAGATAGTTCGCCCATCATTGATGGGAGACGAAAAGTTCGTTGCACTGTATACACAGTGCAACGTACTTTCACTGAAGATACACAGTGCAAAGCGCTTAAGTACTGCATGCACTGTACATCGTTTGCTAGCTGTTGATTGATGATTGGTTGCTCTAAAATGACGGAAGGAGTAAAATTTTCCGATGTGGAATATAAAGCAAATAATCACCTTTAGGTTTCAGGCGATGGCTAACTATCACTTCCTAGGCGATCTAATTATAAACGCTATCTTTCCTCAGCTTGCTTCGGAAAGATAGCTACATCCAGATCACCTCTGGCTCTGGAGTAAAAGTTTGTTCCATCACCTTCACCAACAGTAATTATGCTTACTATACTCTTATTTTGTATTACCAATCATATCTCCGGATTAAGAACATTTTTATCATGTCTAATCGACGGTTGTTTATATTAACAAAATGTAATCCAACTATCTTAAAATACAACTGACATGCATACTCATACCATATAATGTTGATTGACAGTTTTGGTTTGGGCGATTCGCTCGATTTCCTTGCCTTTTTTTGTTTGCATACGTTCATAATAATTTCAATACCTGTAGTTTTCAGCGAAGATTTTCCTTTTATTTGAAAGATTTATTTGTCTGTCACCACAGCAGCTGAGGGTGCTGAGTTTTGTTTTGAAGAGCACTAAATTTGCTTTAAATCAAGAATATCCTGCATTTGCTGGATAGGATGAGAATGACGTAGAGAGTACTTACTAGTCGGAGTTGGCGTAATTCTGTCTCGAGATAACACCAGTAAGGAGTACTATCGCAGCAGGGATTCCTGTCAAACAAATACATTAATAAAAATGTTTAGTTAATACTCTCTAAAAATTAAAAATTAAAATTAAATAAAAAATGGAAGAACAAGAAAAAGGAAAGCAAGAAGGAGAAATGATGTTCCAGTAAGCGAAGAAATGCAAATGGAACAAACATGAATAGGTCTACTATTATAGAAATTTAGCAATGTTTGACTCATTGATTGATTGATTGATTTCTGTTTTTTAATATGAACGTGATATGCGAGTATAAAGTACTTAGGAAAGTAAATAATTAATATTTAAAAAAGGAAGTAATACATTTGTATAATAGACGAAGTAGAATTAATGAAGAACTGACAATTATTACATAACATCGATGACCTGAATGTATTGATTGAAAATGAGGGGCATGCTTAGAGAAGCAATGTTTGTATTGTGTAAGCCCTTACAACTTAGTTGCATAACAAACAAGTTATAACAACAATTTACCCCATGCAATGGTGGAGGCTTTCATCATGAAGAGTGGGATATACGAGTCCATGACACGGACAACCATTAGGAACATGTTTATCCCTTCAACGCCCATCCAGGACATCGATGAGAGCGTGGTGAAGTGGAGGACAGCGGCGATGACCCCACACAGACCTGGACCGACCTCGGGTTCTCCAGGATATCGGTCGAGTGCTGTCATGATGATGAAGAAGACGTACAGGAAGAGGAGCGTGATGCAGAGACACATTAAGATCCGGATGTGCTGCAAGCAACGAAGTTTCCTGGGGCAAAGAGAAACAGATACTTAATATGAACAAATGTAAATGTTCAGAGCGGAGTAGGTGAGTTGAATATGCTGACCTACTAAGTACATTCCAATTTCTAGTATCCGTTGACAACTGAAGCATCTGACTTGTAGCCACTACTCCTATAAAAAGCGTCTGTACTTTTTAAAAGGCTAGTTTAGATATCTATTTAGCTTTTAACTTTACCAACGTTAATATTAAATATTAAGAGGGAATACCTAACAAAAAATAAACGAGACTTAGCTAGGGCTAAGAATCCATACCAACTTAGAAAGCATAAAACATCTTGTGTATTCGACCCCCCCCCCCCCCCGAATAAAGGTATAATTAAAGTGGGTGTTAATAGAGTAAGATTTTTCTCGTGATATACCAAGATGAGGTAAAACGCTAGACTGACTAAACTAGGGGGACAATTGGAGTCTCCTTTGGTGTTGAGAACGTTTGTTGATAGAAAAAGGGTAGGAACATGGAAGTTTAGAGGCAATCCAACCTTTGTGATAGTTATCAGTACGAAAGCAGACAAATTAGAGAAACAGAATACCGAATTTTTGAATAAATAATTCTAATAAAATGAGAGTTATGACTGTTTGACAATTCAATCAGTGGATTGTGACGTTGCCAGGAACGTTTGTTGTACACAAAGATATCATTATTTTCTGTCATCTCTTTTGGGGCACTACTCGAGAATTATCATGGATAGCATATTATAAAAAGTTCTTTCAAAGAAAAGACCCTCTTGATTCACACATTTTGAAAATAAAATGGAATATTAGTCATTTCGTGTGTAGCAGAAATTGGGAATGTAGTACGGACTCCATCAAAAGGGACATTACCGATAAAGTCAATTTAAAATGCATATGTTGTGGTTGCAACGTTTAAAAAAATCTTGGTTTGGGGGTCCGATTTCGTTGACAATTTTCACCTGCCTGCTTTTCTGATTTTGTTGTGCCTTCTTTTAGAATAAAAGTTTATGTTGGATTTTCCTCAAAGTCTTACCTATCAGTGCCGTAGACAGCCAGGGTCACCAAGAGGCCTACAATAGAGAGAGAACATCCTATGTAGCTGAGAATCCCAAACACTTGTTCAACTCTCTCAGATCTTCTGGGGATCCCACTCACATCCTGATGTGAAACAGAAGGCATCACAATGTGGAAATAGAATAAGCCAATTTGGAGATAGATGTATATAGTTGCTTTTAAATGTCTTAAAGATTTATCTCCAGACTTTGACAAAAAGTAACAACAGTACTGTTATGAATATGTAGATTATTGGATTGGAATATGCCAATTCCAAAGGATGACGTGTTGTTAGATGTTGAAGCTGATAAGAACCACGAATCAAAGGTAACGAATCGTCCGATTTCGTCTTGATATTTGAATATATTAATTTGATTCTAAATTGTCGTAGGGGATTATGTAAACAGTACATAATATTAACACACGACAATGGGCAAATCGCGATGATATCATAAGTAAATGTCATATAGAATAATATAAGAATGCAAATTATGCTATGGCTGTGCAACTCTCTGGAATAATTTACCTTTAAATATCATTATCACTACCATTATTATTGCCATTATTATCATTACCATTTTCATTATGTTTAGTATTATTGTTATTATTTTTATCTCCATTTGTATCCTCATTATTATTTCATGTTCTTACCATAAGAACAGCAAAACTTGTTAGATGATTGCACTGGCATTCGGTATGTGTCTCGGAAGTGATTGTCAAAACACAGCCATCGCTTGACCAAGCATTAGTGGAATATTCCCAATAGACACACTGCGGATTTGTTGCATTTCGCTGGAAGTATATATAATTGTTTTGAGAGAAAAACACAATAAAAACAGGTTTTAAGTTCGTTCACTTTCATTTCTGTACTTAGTGATTTGAAGCATATTATTTCAGCCCATTGTGCAGTTGTACAGCTTACGAAGAGATGTTGTATCTTACCTGTTTGTGTTCCAGTGTTATGGTGACCGGATCATTCAGAGGTTTGGTTTCACTCGTACCAAGGCTCGCTCCGATGATATTAGTATTGACCGTGATATTGCGACGCCCATCATTGCTTCCCACCTGATTGTCTTGACCACCGTCCATTACAAACAATGCATCGTCTCGGTACACAGTAAATGCTATATTCCCCATGGTGCCTTCATCAATGGTCTCTGGCCCAATGACGACAGATGCTTGGACAACACCACCTCGGTTACCATTGCCGAGATTGTTGGTGGATAGCTGGATGTCACTTTCATCAAAGGATTGGCTGTCATCGCCGATGATGGAGAAGGCAATCCCATCACGGACACCATCAGACTCAGAGTTGATTACCTAAAGAAATGCATTGTAAGATTAAAGGCTTGATCAGATATGGTGTGTTAAACCGTTCGCTGCAAAATCATTCAAGTAATGGCCTGGACCGGAGCAGGGCAAAGTCAGTGTTTGGAGCTGGTGCATGGAGTTACCATTGTTTAGCACAAATTAGTTAACCCTTACTGTACTGGGCTATTTCGGGCACTCTCTGACTGGGGGGGGGGGGGAAGGGGGCCTGGGAGGCCCCCCCCCCCTATGATCTTGGCCGTGGAATGTCCGATGAACGCGAAAATTTGCATGTTTGTAGATATTTACGTAAGGAACAAGATGGTATAATTAGTTTTTTCCTAATATGCACATTTTTGTCGTTATAGCCTAATTAATTATGCAAAATGCTAATTTTATGCATTTTACAGGAAACTCTACATATTTGACCATAGACTTGTGAAGAATCTTGAAAATGTATTGAATAAATGTTTCCTTCATCTCAAATTCCTGAGGTTTCAATATTTTTGTGATATTTGAAGATGCATAGGTAAATTTGCATAAATTATAAATACGCATTCATGAATATCAAATCTGGAAATATATATAGGGAACTAGAATCATTACAAAAATTGTCAGACTCCACTCTTTGAATGTTGAAACTCATTATTCATATGAACTTCTTTTCTAACACAAAATAGTTATTTAATGTAATTAATAATGATAATGTATGCAAATTTGATGCGATTTTCAACTTTTATTTTCTTATGTATTTATTGTTTTTTATTTCTTATTATATCTATTGTTTTATTTCTAATGTATTCATATCTTCACATTTCTGCTTGTACATGAATATATGCAATTATAGCACTTTTTTGATGACATGCGCATACTAATTGTTATGTAACACCTTACAGGTATATCCGATTTCGACGAAAATGGTATCAAAATGTGCGTAAGACTTGAGGAGAAAAAGTCATGAAACGACAATTCAAAATTCCGAGCGGTTGCGGCGCGATCTCCGAAAATGTCGAGGGGGGCTCCCACCCCCCCCCCCAGTACAGTAAGGGTTAAGCAACCTTGACAACTAGTCTAGTATGAAGTCACACTTCGGAAGTGTATTTAAATCCAGACTTATTATGTTCTTATTTTGTTTATCATCGTACCTGTACCACTAGGTTTGCTGCCACTTGTTGGAAGGTCTGGTTGGATGGCACATTGACTGCTAGAAGGATTTTCTCCAAGGCCATGGTGGCTCTGCTGACAGCACCATTTTTCTTCTCAGCATCCATGGTGAGGGCTTGGTCTAACGTGGCCAGGTTGCTAACGATGTCCACGACTGAAGCAACATTCTAGTATAAAACAACAAAAACAATTAATCTACACCTGCCACTCTCCACCCAGGTGTTTAATGGTACCCGGGAGAATGTAATGGTTTGTGTAGTTTGCTGAGCATTGTGAGGGTCTGTAAAATAGCGCCTGGCTGGAATACACCCAAGGGAGTTAAAAATGTGCATAAATTGTGTGCAGGCTATCCTTTTGACAAGGCCTCGTGACTCTTGCTATTTTCCATCCCAATCAGCGGCTGGGATGAGCCTAGAGACCCGGGGTGAACGCGCGATCGAGTGGCTTTAGTCGCTAGGCCTTTTGGATTCTGGCTCTGCATGAATTATTATGACTTTGGATTTATTGGCCCAAGCCTTGAGCCATAATGCATGGTCGTACTACAGAGGATTTTTTTTATGTTGGGGACAGGGGAAATGCAATGAATTATTGAAAATGTATTGCATTTTCTTTGTCTTTGTTTGTTTGTGAGAACTGCCCCCACCCTAGCCCCCGCTGCGTACAGTCATGTTTCAGTGGCCAACCAATGGCCTTGTAACTGTGAGGCCCCAGGATCAAAACTGTGTCGATGTGCTATATTAGTGCCCTTTTGTGGGGCATTAATCCTCATTACCGTCATTTATGACTTAAGGGTGTAGGTCCCCTAGTTGTTAAGCATAGTAGCATACACATGCTTGAGAAGTCACGTAAAACAAACACTTGCAAATTATTATTCAATAAAATCTGAGAATGTATACTATTATCTAGATCTATTTGGAATAAATCATTGTCAAAATAATTCCATAAATTGGGATAAAAAAAAAGATATTCCAACTATATGAGCGACAGCTAGTGTACAATAAAATAGGCAGCATTTCATGACTTGAGCTAACAATTGTAAGTGATATAATTGGACTTTCCCTCTATATAAAATGAACCAGTCCAACTCATTTCGTTCAATTTCGTACTACGTAGAGTTTAATGTGAACGTGATGGATAATATATGCCGACGTCACGCGATGATACGTTCGGTGATTGGAAACTACCATTTCGGTAGAAAATTCCAGTCGAAAACAAGTGTTAACATAAGAAATCCAAACCAGATTACTAAAGGCCACTTGAAGGGGACACTCACTCTGGCGTTCACTCGGGTTTTCGCGATTAGTCTCTTTTAAGTCGCTCGGCGTCTATCAGACATGAGGCCTTGTCTAAAGGCTATGTGCAGGCAAGCCTTAATCTGTACATCGCTTAGAGACATTATCGATGCATTAAGCACTATACAAATATGGATTATTATTTATATTATTATTACAGCAATACTGAAAGAGAAAAGAAGAAAAACTTTCACTTATTTCTTTCAGCTGGGTGATCTTCCATCAAATAAATTATTGCTGATTGTTTTTTGTTTTTAATCAATGAAATCACCTCTTGGGTTGGTTGAGAAATCGACCCTGTCTGGTGAATGATGTCAAAGGCAGCATCGACCCCAGCAGAAGTAACATTCGTGTCTTGGGAGATCCCAGTCAATACTGACAGGGCGTCCTGAATGTCGCTTTCACCAGTCATCAGATTCTATCAAAAAAAACCACAGTTTGAAATTACCGGTTATCGACTTTTATTCTTGTTTAATTCAGATAGTTAAGGTACCACCCTGTTACCATTAAATTAATGACAGGAGTAGGCAAACAAACTACGAAATAACACGTCGCTCATAAAGTTACAGTTCTGATTATTTATTATACAAATATGTTGTATGTTGTATGTTGTTGGAGCAGCAAGAAAAGCAATGTTGACAAGTCGAGAGTCCTGAGGAGAAAATGTGCAGATGAGAATTGTGCGAGAGATAAATTATCAATAGAGATTAGTAAGAACCAAGAGGCATTTACCGAATTTGACCGTGAGACCAAAAGGCTAAACTGCATATTATGATTAAAGGTAAAGACCAGAATTGGAAACGCCCCAATTTCAAAAAATGAAATGGAAGCTTTTATTACCACTCATGTCAAAGAATATGTTTTGACTAATACATGATGATAACAAATTTGCCAGGAAACCGCCTACTAATTGATATATTTGGTAAATTAGTTTATCTATTGGTATGTGAGAGATAAACGCACATGCCGCGCACGTGTGCGTAGTCCCATAAACATCTTTCTGTGTTCAGGGCTTGTAACTTAACGAAGACTGGGCCAATGTTCTTATCCTTTTGATGATTCCAGAACCTTGCAATATACACACCAATACTTATATGTTAGATGAACAACCTTTTCGGATCGATTCCACAACGTTTCTTTCAAAATGCAATCGCATGACCAGAACTGGTCTTTATCTTTAACGACCCAGCCAAGCACATGAATCACGTTTTGACGGCAACGGCTTGGGTGGGTCGGTGATAAAGGTAATGAGTAGAAGGAGCGTTTATCCTAACCAGAGGACTTGTGGTTAGATGTGACTTGTGACAGATAGGGAGAGAATTTTGAAATACGCTCATTAGGAGATTTGCTACACTATACGCTGCCAAACACCTAGTAACATAGAGTCAATGAGAAATTCGGACTTTAAAAATAAAATCCTCCATTTATATAACACGTACAAGTAGAAACCATAATGGCAGATGTTGCAGGCTTCACTTTATATCGGAATTTTGACGACGAACCCGTCTGCTGATCAAAAATTGGTTCATTGTTCATTTGTTGAGTAAAGTCTTAGGTACAAATATGGGAGACATCAGAGTATGGATGGACGATATATATTCAAAACAACAACGGCAAATAATAGCAATATAATAATACTAATGGTGGCTTCTTACACTGTCGCTCATAACGGTGGAATAAGAATCCTCTGTGTGCCTATGCCTTGAGCCATAATACATGGCCGTCCAGAGGATTTATGTTATGTTGGGGACCGGGGTAAAATACAATAAATTATTGAAAATTTATTGCATTTTTTTGTTTTTAATTTATGGAAACTGCCCCCTACCCTAGCCCCCGCTGCGTACAGTCATGGTTCAGTGACAAAGCAATGGCCTCGTAACTGTGAAGGCCCTAGGATCAAAACCGTGTCGATGTGCTATATTAGTGCTCTTTTGCGGGGCATTAATCCTCATTGCTGTCATGTATGACTTAAGGGCGTGGGTCCCCTAGTTGATAAGCATAGTAGCATACACATGCTTTAGCAGTCACGCAAAACACACATTGGCAAATTGTCATTCAATAAAATCTGAGAATGTATACTATTATCTAGATCTATTATTTTTAAATTATTGAAAATAATTCCATGAATTGGGGTTAAACAAAAATATTCCAACTATATGAGCGACAGTGTATATAGCGCACATGTCCGTCACGTTGTGACGCTCCTGGCGCTGCCCCGATTATTTCCCTGGCTTTAGCAAGGCAGCCACTACCTAATCGAATCAAATTCAATTGTTTTCCTTTAAGTGGTACTATATTGACGTCAAAGCATTCTAAGAACAATCGTGATACATGAAATCGTATTTCCAATTCATATCCTATCAGAACATGGAAGAAAAATTGGGGGTCATTCTGAAGAGTTATAGCGGATCCAAAATACGTACTTTTTCGCGGACCACTTCTGGCAATTTTTGCATATGCGCACATGCATCAATTTAGAGGTTCAACGAACATCTATGAGCTACATTTAGGTCAAATTGCTAAGAATAGTATCACCAACACAACACAAGAGGAAAAATTGAATTGATAAATTCACTAAAGCTATGGTCACAAATCAGAGCAGCGACCGACCGATCAGTAGCCTGCTCGGTCGCTGCTGGAATTATGCATCGCCCAGCGATTAGGTCGGTGCCCGGGCGGCGACCGCCCAGGCACCGAGCGTATTGTGGGCGGCGAGTGAAAAGTGAGCAGGCGCCGCCCAAATTTTAACTCCGCGCTAAAACTTCAGCGGCGACCGAGCGATGCCCTAAAAACGAGCGGTGCCTGGGCGGCCGCCGCTCGGTGGCCGGCCAGCCGCCGGGCAGAATTGGTTAAAAACTCGCCGCTCGGCCGCCGAGCAGGCTACTTTTGGGTAATGTGACTATAGCATAAGGATGGTACACGTAAAATGCGCGCGCTTGTGTCCGCGTTTGCACATTTTTGAAATGTTCGAAAAGACCTGAAACATGTAGTAAATTAGTCCAATAAGTATTTTGACATTTCAAATGTTGATGCACACGTACGCGTCCCACATGACGCGCGCACATACATAGGTGTTACCAAAAGTTTACCCATGATGTCAAGTCTATGCATATCCAATATCATTCAGAAATGACAATGTATGACTGAAATATGGTCAATAAAAGAAATTAACAAAATGGCGCCTAGATGACGTCATGCATTAATGATATTTTAAAAATCTCATCGTTAGGATCAACAAGCATGCATATGGCACATGACATGAACATTTAATTGTCATTAACCATGTCATTCATGCATGGGTGTCGATCTGTAACTGATACCTATTCATCAGGGGGGGCGATCTATTCATTCATCCCCCCCCCCCTGATGAATAGGTATTACGTAAGGATCGACACCCATGCATTCATGTGATATGAAGCGAACAAAATCCATACAAAATGAGAGGGGTGGAAAAAGAGATTCTGACGATATCTTTTAGGCCTATTTCATTTCAAATTTTAAGTTTGTTACCTGATTGTGTGGATAAAGTATAATTTTTCGAGCGTTTAAGGGTGAAGGACATTCCGCAGTAACATTTGTGTGCACAATAGCTGATCATGTATTTACTACGCACAATACCAGGAACTCCATAACAGACTAGAATAAGATCAAGTTTACCTCTTCTAAGTAGATTAAGAGTTGATCAGCTGTTTTATTGACACCGCAGTTATCTGAAGGTACCCATGCACAAGGATAGATATAATCACCGGAGCAGACGGCTCGTGCTATTGGCTCTCCATCTTGATATATCCAGAACCACAGTGAATAAATGTATTATTAGTCTCATATTAACATGGTATATTGCGTGAAGATGTATGGTATGGTGGCTCTTTGTTTCGACTCTCAATATCAGGGTTAAGGGTTCGAATCCTAGTCTAATACTGACGTCCTTTGGCAACACCCAGGTGTAAATGGGTGCCTAAAAGTTCCTGGGGTGATAGAATGCAGGGCACCCATGAAGAATAGCATGATGCTGATGAGGCTTCCCGGGTTAAAAATTATTATTGATATTATCATTACTATTATCAATATTTTTCTTCTCCTTCTTCTCCTTCTTCATTTTCTCATCATCACTATTATATTACTATTAGCATTGCTATCATTATTAATACATGTATTAATACTGTTCTTACAGTGAAACTTGTCTATAATAACCACCCAAGAGAGACAAGAAAAGTGGTCTTTATAGGCAGGTGGTCTCTATGTACAGGTGCCTATAATACATGTTTCAATGAGAAACCATTGTCAAGGGAAACGAAAAATGTGGTCTTTGTAGACAGGTGATTTTTGTAGACAAGTGGTCACTGAAGCAGGTTTGACTGGTTTATGATATTCATGTTTTATAAAAAGAACTTTCTAGTCGGTACTAATCTTAACATTCATGGGTTTGCTTTCTCATGTAAGCTTAACTATCTAAAGACTAAAAGAAAAAATATTTTAATATCAAAAATATTTATTTCATGTACCCTTGATGGTGAAAAATGGACAAAATTCTCCACTCGATTCAATCCACGAATGAAGGTCTCCTGACGAAAACTGGACAATACCATACGGAGATGACCAAGAGGTGTTTGGACATAAAACTAAAAGAGAGAGAGAGAGAAAGAGAATTTGGATTTCATAATTTGTCATTGCAGTTTTTGGTACATTTTAAGAAGTGATGCGACGAGATATCTTTAATAATTGCTTTAGGTTTGCTTTCTTGAAAGTCTGTGCAATTACCTTAGATATGGAAAGATAAATCAGATCGCAAATAACGCAATATTGCAATATCGTAAAAGACGTCGCTGCAAACCTCGCTTTTCCCAGAATTTCTATTTTTCTTGAATTCATATGAATAGTCAGAACCCCGACCACAAATATTTACAAGTTCCAATATTCATATCGAATGCAATAGCACATATTTCCAATATCGAATCGTGGTTAGATCGTATAGTATTCACTTGGCTTCAACTTATATCAGCACACTATCTCCACTTAGTGACGTTTTTGCATCATTTTTAGTCTATCAACATTTATCAACAATGTAGTACGTTGTAACTATAAAATAATTATAGTTTATAAATTGGCAAAATACAGTAGTATAAGAATAAAATCACTATTTTTAAGTACAAATTGGCAAAATTAGGTTAAATTTGACAATTTTTTTCTTCACATAGGTTCATCTGATAATTTTTTACTTCTCCAATCAATGAAGGCGTGGAAAACAAGATAAATTTTTGCCAATTGGAAGAGAGAAAATTATTAATTTAGAAAATTAAGAAATAAGAAAAATACTGAACTCCTATAGCTGGTTAAATATGATTTCAGTTGAGCAAGGTTCACCTGTACTTAGTACCAGAAGGGTGGAAGGGTCAAAGAAACCGTCAGAGCTTTTCGCCACAGAGGATAATCCGCTCCACAGCAGGTCTATTTCTTCTTGTGTACTCATGCTACTGTTGGCTATGTAAGCTCTCATATCAACCAATACACCGTCATCTGGTAGAAGTTGATTCACGTGAATGTAAATAGTGCCATTGGTGTCACTCTCAGTTTCAGGCGCCTCAAACACTGCCTCGGACTAGATATCAAATGATGCCCAACATTATCATGGATGTTTAATCCAGTTGATTATTTTTTACATAAGATTAGACATTTCCTAGCAACTGTCTTTTCTAGGGTTTGGCTGTATCTTACATAGACACTGAAAAATGTAGCCAAATGAATTTTGCTAGTTTTACATATTCTGCATAATGTTTATGAACTATACACGATATCATTAAACAATGGTAATTAATATCTTTGTGAGCGAAGCAAATTTGCATGTCGAATTCATATTAGACAATGAATTGAACGAAGGAATGAATATGTGAATGAAAGAAACAGTTAAAAATGTTTTGTTTTCTGTCTCGATTTGTTTTTGTCTTGGCTACCCGTAAACTTGAATAGGCTTCAAATTTTAAGAAGCAGGGCAACATTGCTTCCGAATCAAGGATGTACCCTCAGACAAACTGGGAACAGTTGAGGAGAATTTATAGCATTCTAATTCAGAGATATATTACAAGTGACTTTACAGCTTCCATCCCCTTACCTTTCCTTGAATATCACGCACAAGGGTCTTGTAATCTGAAGATTCTTGATCAGCTTGAAATGTCGTGAAATTTCCTACAAGCTTGAACTTCAGATGAAAAATAGACATATCTGTATTTTAAAAAAAAAATCATAGATACTGTTTAAAATATACGATATTTCACAAAAGTTCTTACACAAAATTCACTCGAAACTTATTTTATGAAATGAAATTATATTTTTATTAGGCTACCTTCAATATATTCCCCCCCCCCCCCAAAAAAAAAAGTAGTGTTGCAATATGCAGATGATATATTGTTGTGATACGATGTTGCTTAGTTTCAACGGATATGTGTTGTTTGATATACACTAATGGGGTTGTATGTATCATGGTCTAGAGGTTATGTCACGGGAATGTGGATTATATGGTTCGCGATTGGTGTCATGCCACAGTACTAATGTCCTTTGGCAAGACATCGATCTACATTTGCCATTCGTCATCCTTGTATATTTAATGGGTACCTGGTGGGAGTTTGTTCCCTAAACGCTTTAAGCGCCTTAGAGCAACTAGGCTAAAGACAGGGTAACAAAACTACTCAGTAGGCACCTGAACATCTCCGGGATGGATACGCGCGCAATATAATTGTAGCTGTTAGTTAGTATTATTATAATCCCAATTAAATTTACTGACAAATAGTCCCGGATAATTTTATTTTATTTTTTGGGTAATAACATTTTGGGTAAGTTTCATATTAAAGTGGGGATAAGAAGATATAGAAGAAGTTGTCTTGGGTCGTTGTCTAAAGGTAAAAGTTTAGATGTAACTGTTTTTGTGTCAAAAAATCCCCATCTAAAAAAATTACCTCTGATTCTAAGCAGTGCGTGGTTGCTTTCAATATGAGGTCCGTTTTCTGGGAAACCGACACAGCTATAGTACGCCTGATCAGAGGGGGTCATCTCACCGATGACATAGTTAGATATATCACGGGTGTCAGGCACCTTTTTCCCATCTCTCCACCAGTCAAAGTGCTGAACATCTTGGAATTCACAGTTCAATACTACCATCTCCGATATACCTACAGTTTTATTTCTGGGGTGAGAGGTAACGGTTGGCACACCTAGTAAGGATGAAAAGAGAATATCCCAGAGCCTTGAACTTGAGATGGATACAATATTCGCTCAATCAAAATTCCAATTCCCATAACAGAACTATGAACACAAATATAGACTATATTATTGTTTTATGATTTTATATATACAAAAACACATTGAGATATTATGATACAAACAAAATGTTCATTGATAATTATGAGTTATTTCGTCAATGCTGATTATCTTTTTTGTATGAAACATATCATTGTAAAATCATGATAATTTTCTAAAAATAAATAAATAATTTATCAAGGTATCTTACTCTCATAATCAAATGATTTTTAAACAATCGTTGGATATTGGAATATGAATACTGGTAATAAAAAATGTTGCAATTCCTCACCTCTTTAAATATTGATCTAACTCATGTTTGGAGTGCTAAAACTAGAGACAAATGTTATCCATGGGTAAGGCATGACACAGAGCTGTCATAACAACAATCATTTCATCTAAGTTGCGTTTTTTTTTTTAAACTTAAACACCTGTTCTGGTATTGTACACGCGAATGAAACCCCGTCACCCCAATGTATGCTGCAGATATTTCAATAACAGACAATAGATGATCGAAATCTGATATGATTTTTATTTGGCAAACGGGCATTATTTAGTTTAGAACACATGAAGCTCATACCATCTTGTGTTTGGTCAATGTTGCATGTTGTTCCTGCGTAGAGCGATGAGCAAGCACATTGTTGTTCAGCTGGTATGCAAGTACCTCCATTGAGACAAGGGTCCGACGCACAGAAGCCTATTGAGAAAAACTCATTGGTTCAGTGGTAAAGCTGTGATATCCAAACTAGAAGGGCCTAGGTTCCAAGCCAAGTAAATGTGTTATTGCCCTTTGATAGTTCAATAAGTCTCAATTACCAAGTCCCTCGGATAGGACTTAGTTCCACAGATTACTACAATGAGTCACTTTGGAGAAAGCACTTGTACAAATGACACAACCAAAGTGATGGAGGTATTTCCTTTTATATGATTACTTTTATGCCATTCTGATTCTTATTCTAGTTCGCAATAGGTTACCTCCTTCATTATCCGAAACAATCCTTTCAATGTTTATCATTTTATAGACAGAAAAAAACGAGAAAATTATTGTTTAAAACATGACTTCCGACAAACTGTCGTACAAGGTCTGCGAAACCTACCACTCTGACAATAGGTGCCAAACCATCCCTCAGTGCAGTTACAGGTGAATGAGTTTGGATGATCAACGCATGCTCCTTCATTCAAACACGGTCCGGAATTACATTCATCAATATCTATTTGAGAATTGGAATTTCAACAAAATGACTAGTTAAAGGGGGAAATGTATGCATTTCTTAATTTTATTGATCTCAATATTTTCCATCTCCACTCCAAAGGAGTACATTTCACAATCAGATGCAATATGTCCTATACGACGAGTAATATTATGTAGCTTGGTTATATCTTGACCAGTGTATACGTAAATACAGTGCGTCCCAGAAAAAATGAAACTGAGAATTATCGATGTTTCATCATAACTAAATCACAATTGTAATTAATAAATAACACATATTTGGAAAGCTAAGATCCTCCCCTTTCATTTGATGCAACTCATATAATGCATGTTTTCACGCATGAGTGATTAAAATGAATTTGAAGACTGAATTTGAAGGAAACTAAAAAGTCATTTGGCGGACGGTATCTGAATTTCAAAGAAAAAATCACAATTCCAGGAAGTTGAGTTTCTGCCCTTTCATATGAAAAATGAGCTAGGAATAACAAAGTTCCGTTTGTTTAAGGTAGTGCTTGCATTTCCATAATTTTATCAAACGAATTCGTTTTCACTGGCTGTCTGCCGTAGCAACTAACGGAATTAACAAAAGACTTAACCCTAATAAGGCCGGGGGGCATTATGCCCCCCCCCCCCCCCTCCACAATTTTTCTGATTGTTCGAGAACGCATGTGGATGGCGCATCGCCGCTCGCTGACTTTTTCCTTTAGAGTCTTGCGCATCTTTAACAAAAAAAAAAAAAAAATCGGACCTACAGTTACAAGGTCACGTGACCTATTGTCTTTGCATGTCAGCCCAAAAATCGCTCATTTTTGTGATTTGTGTACAAAACATATCGAAATGTCATTTTTCCTAAAAATAGATCAAACATTGGTTATTGGGTCTTGTTTAAAGTTTAGGTGGTTGTTTTGGGAGTCAAAATAGATGAATTGTAGGAAGAAATGAAAAAAAGAAAAAAAATTACATACATAAGTTAAAAAAACAATGAAATACATAAGAAATTATCAAAACAAGAGATAACATAAGGAATAAGATGGCTCTTCCAAATTTTTTTGTCGTATTATTGTTCCAAATGGTCTAATGAATATATGTAGTGAAAAAAATGCTTAAATATGAATAATATATGATTTATGGGTAAAAATGTGATTTTATGACGTTATTTGCATAAATTACCATAAATATGCAAATGAGTTATTTTTTTTTATAAAAAAATTAAAATTATCATATTGTTCTATACACTTCACTTGACATGCATGCAAATTTTCGCGGAGATCGGCCGTTTCACGGCCGAGATCTTAGGGGGGGGGCATAATGCCCCCCCCCCCCCCCCGGCCATAGTAAGACTTCAAATAGCCCGGCCTTATTAGGGTTAACTCCGTTTCGTTGACAATCAGCCGTAGACGAAAGACTTTCATGCTTGGCTGATTGTCAATGAAACGGAGTTAAGTCTTTTATCAATTCAGATTTTTGCTACGGCAGGCAGCTAGTGAAAACGATTTCGTTTGATAAAATTATGGAAATGCAAGCACCACTTTAAAAAACAGAACTTTTTCATTCCTCGCTCATTTTTGCTGATTGAGAATTCATATAAAAGGGCTGCAACTCAACTTTCTATAAATGTGATTTTCTTTTTTAAATTGAGATACCGTTCGCCAAATGACTTTTTGGTAACCTTTCTTCAAATTAATTTTACTCATTGGTGCGTGAAATATGCATCATATGAGTTGCATCAAATGAAGGAAGAAGATCTAAGCTTAACAAATATGTGGCATTTATTAATTATAAATGTGAATAAGTTATGATAAAACATCGACAATTCTCGGCTTCGTTTTGGGGGGACGCACTGTATAGGGGTGCAGAATAAAACACTAGCAGACTGCCTGACTCGCATACCTAGGAGTGATGTCTCTTGTCTTTGATATAACGACCAATGTTCCTTATTACAGAATTTCAGAATAAATAAAACACATCAAGAAACAAACAAACAAACAATATCTATTTCACAGGTGTAGCCCTCCCACCCTGAAGAGCAATTACACGAGAAGGCGTTCATGAGGTTATTACACTCTGCACCGTTTAGGCATTGGTTTGAAGAACATTCATCAACATCTGTGAAGTAATTCAATTAATGACATGTTAACAAAAATCTGTCATTCAAGATTGAGCGCTGATATCTATCTTGCTGCTATATTACTATATTGACATTGCTTTCATTGAAAAGCCAGTTTATAACCCTTATATGTGGGGTTAAGTAAAGAAAAAAAATCTTGCCAATTGCCGTGTTTTTTTCAACTGTACAATGAATTCTCCATTTGTTTAGAGGATGGATTGTGTTTCTAACAAGGTTGAGGCGGTCATTGTTGACAAAAATAAAGCATTTTGCAAACATTTCTCTTTTGACTTGGTCCCATATTCAGGTGACATGGCATCGATCATTGTAAAGGGGCAAAAGAAACAAAATCTACAGTCAAACTAGACTTGCAGAACTTGTTTTGAGAAGTTTTATTTAATTGTACCGATTTCTACAAGAGCATCGGGCATTTCAGAGTCCGATACCGATATCAATATCGATAGCTTAACACCACTGTGAAAAAAAAGAAAAAAAAAAACTGACATCGCCACACTGACTTGATTTCACGACGATGATTTAAAAATAGTACATAAAAACCAAAGATATCATGAAAAGCACAGGATAAGTTTACACTTATTTCTCTGGTCTTATAAAATAATTAATTTTACACAAAAGAATATATGAATCACACAGTAAAGGACCTGTTTCACATATTTTTATTTGATTGTCTGACAATAACATAGCATTGTTCGTGCGTTGACTGTTGTGCGGGTACAATACTAACACCGAACTGGAAATGAACATTTGCTTAATCCCTAGGGGCTAGTGTTAGTGAATAGGACATTCGTACGTAAAATATTAACACCAGCCACAAGGATTGGTTCAGCAGACGACAATTTTGCATAATTAATAACACTAGCTACCGGAAGTTGACAAAATTCAGAGATCAAAGCCTTAACACCAGCTGATTTCCATTTTGGTGTTTAGGGCTTGTGTTAGTGTTTATTAAACACAAACACCAGTCCTAAACACCCAACTTGAAATCAATCATTGTGATGGTTGTATTATAATGGTAAAAATAAGTCTGGTCACAAATACGTGCCCTGAATATACACGTGGCTTAAATTCCTTAAATATATATATATATATATTTTAATACTCATGTTCCTACATATATTAATGAAACAACTTTATTCCGTTTACATGGTTTATGCACCCATTTCAACTTTTTAATTCATAGCATATATATATTTATTTATAGTACAATAATGCCAGAATGAGACACTGCGTTTAATTTTGTTATTTGTTAACACTTTTGTACACATTATTTACACACGCTTGTTTCTTTAGATCTTCTGCAGGTGCCCATTTCATTTCTTAATTTCCAACTTTCTTCATATTTGCTAGTACTATAGTAGAATTGTTTATGTTTGAAACATGTTAATCCGATATTATCACCATTACGTTTTATCTATCAATTTATTTATGTTAATTGTGTTTAAAATGTAAATAGTCAAAATCTAAATGTTACGAGAAAAGGAAATGAAATTCTTTGTCCATTCTCTCTTTTTTATCTTCTTTTTTCCCCACTCATCCATGTATGTAAATTCGATTTATTTTATGTATGATGTGCAATATATTATTATTGTTAATTTTTTCCTTAAACTAATTTGTGATCGTTTCCATATTAATGTACATGTATTTTTAATTTCTTTGAGCTTTGTAATCTTTGTTTGTATCAGTCTCCTTACTGTTTTAACATGGAATTTCGACACAATAAACCGAAATGAATGAATGAAAAAAAAACGTTCAGAATCGAATCATCAAGATACATCATTTTTATTCTACCTTTACTTAAAGGGATAGTTGACTTCTTGTTTAAGACCGCAAATGCCTTCAAAAATCATGGTTATTGCTATTGTTCTTATTTATGACATTTCTAGTGCCCTTTTAAAGCCTAAAATTACTCTGAAGGTAATTTTAGACCCCGAAAATGTGTGAAGTTTATATTAAATACGATCATATCAATATTCAGCTCCACTTTCACACAAAAAAAATGACTGTTAGTTAATTAATAATAACAATGAACGGGCCGGCTGGTTGTGCGTACCAACACGAAAAAGCCAACAAAAAGCCAACATTGGCATCGGCTGGAATAAAACGTATAAGGCGCTATCTCATTTTTTCAATGGCTGGTTCAAAATTATCAAATATTTGTGGGGAACCACAAATATAAGAAATGGTTTTATTTATGGATATTTCAGCCGTCTCTGAACCGTTTTTTTAATTTTTTATAAAACAAAGATGATTTGTCATTTAAATTGTATGTTCTTTCAAATTTAACACTCGGTTTTCCATTATCTCACAATAGATTATTTTGTGTAGCTCCCTCTGCAACAAAACACTACTTTCCCTTTTCTTTCAATACAAAACTGGACATCCCATAGAAATCACATTTAGATTATTATAGACCGTTGTAATGTTCAAATAATTCAATATATAAAGGAAGAGGTTATTGAAACTACCTTAGGTCTATTTTCGAAAGTCTTTGCGATTGTTTTCATTCTAGAGGAGTACCCTTTTGGGGAAAATACACTACCTGACAATGCGAAAATAGTATGAGATGGAGAGGGCTTATACCTTCTGCACACGTTGTCCCTGTCCAACCAGATTGGCAATGGCAGAGAAACGCATTGACCTTATCTTCACATCCACCATCATTTCGACAAGGTCCAGATTCACATTCATCAATGTCTAACAAATAGAGGAAAAAAAGGTGAAAAAGTTGAAAAAGTTGAAAAAGTAGGCACCAACATTTATTTAATACATGATCACATGCTTTAATACAATAAACTCACAATGACACGATCATGGTGATGATTGTGGGTTCTAGTATGGCGCTCATGTCTGTCAGACTTAACACTCTAGGTGCCCTAATATTGATGGCTGATTCCCAATAGATAATGATAGAAACCATTTTGGTAATAGGTTAGTTTTCTTATAACTATTGACCGTTTTGATGGGCATGGTTAAAACTATTGCCAAAAGTGATCTCAAAACTGTACTGTGCCCCAAGACGACGTTGCGACAACAACAACAACAACAAATAATAATTTTTACCAAGAGGCAATGCCACAGATACAATGCCATACACAATTTGTACCAAGATTGATAACTTTCATGAAATATGAACAAATAACAAAAAACGATTTATTAATTGTCATATTAAGTTTTGAAAACAAAATCCTAGTCTACTGACCCAAAATGAATTTTGACCTTGACTTTGTGTCACATGACTTGTGAATTCTTAATAACGCTTGGGTACAAGTTTCATGGAATTTGAACAAACACTTCTGAAATTATGCTAAAAATTCAAAATCTTGATGTTGATGCCTCGGGTTTGAATCCCACCAGGCGGATGACTGGAGCCAGCGTTGTGTGTTAACGTGCCCCCCCCCCCCTTGTTTCATATAGACGCAGGCTATGTTAATGGGAAAACACTCCGTCCCTCGGATAGGACGTTAAATGGAGGCCCTGTGTTACGTATACAGGAGAGTCACCGTCCTTGCACGTTAAAGATGAAGTTGAGTTCTGGTCATGCGATTGCATTGTGAAAGAAACGGAGTGGAACCGACCAGAAAAGGTTGATCATCTAGCATAAGAATTTATGTGTATTGCAGGGTTCTGGAATCATCAAAATGATAAGAAATTTGGCAAAGTCTTGCTAAAGTTACAAACACTTGCACAGAAAGATGTATATGGGACTACACGAACACGTGGCGTAAAAAGCCGCCCCCCCCCCCCCGATTTTTACGATGTTACATGCATATTTAGCATATGAAGGCATTTGAAGAGCCATGCTTTTCAGGGAACATGTCTTAACTGATGTTCTTCCACACTTGCATAATAAGAATGAGTAATGCTCACAAATTATTTTTCACCGCTTCCCAGAACTCGACCTTCTCTTTAAAGTGACTCGGTAACATTGTTGAAGGTTGATGAAAAAATTGCTTGATTTTTGTATAAAATGTTACTTACTATGTTCCTTCTACTACAATAACCCTCTGACATGCAAAAAATCCTGAAAAATTCTCAAACCACAAAGATATCTATGATTTTCTTTGAAAGCGTCGATGTGAGGCACCCTCTAACAGTGATTAACAGTAAATTCTCCCAACCATTTTTGAATTTTCCCAACCGTTTTTCCATGAGAAAAATACATTAAAAAAATCTGTCAACACTTAACTGTCTGGAATGGAATGTAGAGCCATTTTATTGCTTTGTGACGATTTACATTCACCTAAAATGTAATTAAATTTTCCTTGTCTTGATGCTGAACAGGCTTCGACAAGTAGCAGAAGAGAAGTAGAATGATATAGTTGGGAGAATTAAGGAATCGATCAGATCAGTTTTTCCCAATTTGTATCATGAATAATGATCTGTTTTCACTTAAATTTTCAGATTATCTTTAATTGTACATCTAGCATTGAATTCACTACCTTAGCACCACTATCTCTCATCTGAACAATGTTACAAAGTCCCTTTAAAGAACCCATTGCACTATTCGTATAAGAGTAGGGGGAAACCCACACATAGGAGCATCATTATCCTGGCTGTGTAGTAAAAGCTGTGCTTTTGAAATTCTGAACATGTCAAACACCCCTGTACAGAACTCAACTGATTTCACTCAAAATCGGTACTTTAGTGACAACAGATGACACCTAAATAGCAGTAAAATACACTTTTTTCAACTTACTGATGTTAAAAAGAACAATTAGAAATTCAAATGGTAAGTCTAGTGTCAAATTTGCCGAGCAGCCCAAGCGGTCCTATTATGTGCAGTCTATGCAATATTGTGTGGTGTGTATATTTGTGTATACCGGTAGGTCTAATAATACCTGTAAAGGTCAATACGCATTAAAAGTGACTCTCTATGCTTTGCTGGAGTGGGGAAACCCCGGTGTATTTGTCCATGCAGCTGTACACCCCAATCATGCGGGGTATGCATATGGCATCTGCAAGAATCTTCAGGATTAAAGGAGGCAGATTATCTTGAAGAAGACTGAAGCTTTCGGTCTAACCAGGGGCGCTGATTTATTTTCATGACCGGGAGGGGGGTGGGGGGACGAGATGCGGGGGACGATGGAGCAGTGGCGTAATGAGCAAAAAAGTTGTGGGGGAGGGGGGTAAAGAAAAATATCTGCATCATACCCGCTCTTACATGTTACAAAAAAAATAGATTAAACAAATATGGCGTCGGAAGTTCTAGGACGCTAATCACGTTCGGAATTTCATATGCAGTCAAACCATGCTACCGCAAAGCGCGAGTCATTTTTTTTCTCGATATAATGACTTGATAATTGCCTGAGCGGGTAGGCAAAGGGCGTGGTTCCAAGAGCGTAGCTAGGATTTTATTTAAGGGGGCGGTAGCACGCAAAGCGCGCTCCCTAGGGGGTGGGTGCAGGGAGGGGGAGTTTTCCCCCTCCCGCGCGAAGCGCTGAAGCTTTGATTGAAGACGATTCGTTGTACCTTTCTAGACTCTTAATCCTTGTCTAAATTCAGTTTTTTTTCCCTCCCTCCCACTCCTGCGCGAAGCGCGGAACCTTTGACGTATTCTTACACAAAGAAGTCGATTCGTTGTACCTTTCTCGACTCTTAATCCTTATTTGTATTCAGTCCCCCTCTCACGCAAAGCGCGGAAGCTTTGACGGTTTATTAATTTATTAGAGAAAGAATTCGATGTACCGGCCGTTCTCGACTCTTAATCCTTATCTGAATTCAGTTTCCTCCGCTCCCGCGCGAAGCACGGAAACTTTGAAGTTTCATTAAATTATTAGAGAAAGAAGACGTTTAGTGTACCTTTTTCGACTCTTAATCCTTGTCTGAATTCAGTCCCCCCCCCCCCCCTCCTGCGCAAAGCGCGGAAGCTTTGACGTATTATTAGACAAAGAAGTCGATTCCTTGTACATTTCGTCGCCGTTTTCACGAACCGGCACAAGCCACCGAAATCCCTTCAAAATGTACTTTTTATTTTTTTTGCATTTTTAGCATAAGTTATCAACAATCTTTCATCTCACCAAATTTCAGCATCCAAAACGCTTTAGTTTTTGAGATATCCATGGTTACACAAATGACAAAAACGACACACGAGCCAAAAAGCACGATTCATATTTTCACGAACCGGCACGCGCCGTTATAAGTCAATGGGCTGTGCCGGTTCGTGAAAATATCTTTGCGCTTACAAGACCTAGACGACGCGACACAGGCGGTTGTGCCGGTTCGTGAAAATAAAATACGCGCTAAGACAGCGCGAGCGCTTTTGTCTTGCGCGTAAAGTTACATAGGAAAAACGACACAGTGGCTTGTGCCGGTTCGTGAAAATATTTTTGCTACGTAAACAGCAAAATAATATTTTCACGAACCGGCACGAGAGTCCAAAGCTTCGTAATATTAATAGTAATTGTCATTATGCTTAACAAATGGAATGTATAGAAAATACAGAATATTTTCCTTTCATTGATATGTATTTTGTGATATAAAATTTGACATAAGGCATGTTTCTGGCGAATTCAAAACGGGCTAAACTTAAAACGCGTTTTTCTCAGAATGTACTTATTTCGTTGCGCGTTGGGCTGTGCCGGTTCGTGAAAACGGCGACGATTTCTCGACTCTTAATCCTTATCTGTATTCAGTCCCCCTCCCGGAAGCTTTGACATTTAATTAAATTATTAGAGAAAGAAGACGATTCGTTGTACCGTTCTCGACTTTTTTCCTCTTTTTCTTCCTACGTCCTCACTTCTTTTTTTGGTCGGCGTTTTTTTTTTTGGGGGGGGGGAGGCGACCGCCCCCTCCCCACCCCCTCACCTTGAAATAAATTATTTGTTCCTCGTCTATGTCATCGCGGCGAAAAATTTCAGACTTTTCTTTTTTTGAGGAGCTACTTACACATGCAGCCTCAGACATATGTGCCAACGAAGTTGTGTCTTCTTGTGTTCTTGGAAACAAAGTTTTGGGCAATATTAACGTTAGACAGTCATAACCCACATCCAATGAATGAATCGCGGTCAATGGGATGATATTTGTTTTCATTCTGACCACTATAAAGAACCAATCTTTACGCCTACATCAGATCTGATTAAAAAAGGGTAATGAATTATTTTTAAAAACTTAGTTAATGAAGTCCGGGAGATGAACTTTCAGTTGTAATAATAATTTGAATACTAAGTCGATCTGTAGATTATAGAAACGCATGAAGCTTCCAGCCCAGAACATAAGTGTGCAAATATATTTGGGGAGGGCAGGGTCAATGATAGCCTATCCGAGCCCGAACAAAATATTGGAGGCTCAATGGTATCTGAGCCCCTAAGGACTCAATGATATCTAGGCCCACCGAAAAATTGGGGGCTCAATGATATCTATAAGCCCCGCCAAAAATATTGGGGGGGGGCTTAATGATATCTTAGCCCCCCCCCCCCCCAAAAAAAAAAAAAGATTTTTTTTTTTTTCAGAGGGGGGGGATGCGTCCCCCCCCCCCCCCCGGTTCCTAAGCCTATGACATACAACTTTTGTTATTAACTAAAGAAATTCTATTAAAATTTACTTATATAAGATCATGTTCTGTACATGAAAGAAAGAGGAGACCTTATAGAAGCTGGGCTTGTTAGAGCAAGGTCCCCAAACAGAATATAATAATAACAGAAAAAAATACTTAACAACTAAACTACCTTAACAGACTAGAAACAATAATATTACACATGGGAAATATTTACAAAAGAGATCGATTGATGTATATATGAAAAGGAAAAAATGTGAATATACATAAGGATGGAGAGCGAAAGCGCAAAACAGAACAAAACAACAACAAAAGTCGAGAAGGAAGAAAGTTATATGGAGAAATGGTGATGGGGAAGAAAAAGAAGAGAGAGAGAGAGAAGAAAAAAAAGTACAATAGAGCAAAACAGAACAGAACGAGTTTGCTAATATATGAAGAAATGTTAGTAAGGTAAGAGCCAGCTTGGAAAAGAGGGGGGGGGGGGGGCAATGAAGCAAGACAAAAATACACATTATATCATATGTGAATAATGTGATGACATAATTTTTACATTAAATACTTTCAGCATAATTACTCAATAAATGTAATTTTATTTTGCGTTTAAAGCAGAGACACTGATCGATAGAGCGAGTTACATCAATAGGAAGTGAGTTCCAAAACTTGGGACCTGTACAAGCTAATGTATTCAAAGCAATGGCATTTCTTACACGCGGTACATAATGGAGTGCAGTTGCCTGTCTTGTATTATAACTGTACATGTGAATTTGACTGTTCTTTCTAAATAGCTGTACTAACGCATTTGGGAGGGAGAGTACCATTTTCAAAATCATACATGATTGAGCCTAACTGCAAGAGATAGATTCTACCTTTACTAGTTTATTACTATGAAACAAAACATTAGTATGAGCACGATAATTTACATTAAAAACAATCCTAATCACCCTTTTCTGAGCGACAAGTATCTTATTTAGTTGCGTTTTTAGTGACTTCCCTCATGCCAACACATAGTAGAAACATAAGAAGTGCATCCTCTCGCAAATTGTACCTTCCCCCCGGCCACCACCTCAACATTTTTGAGAAATGTTTCAGCTACTCGGCAGGTAGAGAATGGAACTGCTTACCCGAGAATGTCAGATTATCCCTGACCTTAACAACATTCAAAAGTCCATATCAGAGATGGTATGACAGCCAATAAGACGCGTTATCCTATTCTCATCTTTGATCTAACGTGCCCCCTCCCCCCCCCCCCGGAAGTGCCATACGAGGCATTATACACAATACACATTTCATCTTATCATCATAACTTGCAATCTATGGTGGTTTAATACATACATAATTAATAATTGTTAGATAAAATTCACAAATGTTATTTGATTTGGTATCATTCACATAATGTACCCAGACTCATATGTGATTTCGTTATTGCCTTTTGATTTTATATTTTTCGAATAACGGAATCTTTATTATATAAATCATATCATCTTATTGTATTCTATGCTTTTGTGTTTTATAATTTACACAGTTTTTTTGTTTTTTGGAAAAAATATGTGATAATTTTGTTATCCTATTTCCTTAGTCAATAAATGAATAAATAGTTTATAATTTTCTCATCATATGCATGTATTTCATATCAGCCAAATGTCAATGATGTATCTCATTGTAATCAATTAATGTATAATTCATTTCAGTATGTTGTAAACTATTGTCATATGTATTGTTTAATGCTATTGTATGTGTTAAACTGTTGTATATTTAACTTGCTTTTTATTTATGTGCAATGGACCTTGTGGCAGATTAGCCCTGTGCTAAACAAGTTATCCAATAAAGTCTACTACTACACTACTGTCTACTACTACAACACTCCATAATTAAGATAAGGCAAAATCAGAGTAGAGTATAAAATAAGCAAATTTCTTGTGGCACAAAAGAACGTAATTTAAAATTACACCAGTATTTTTAGACATAACTACATTACTACAATGTGATGCCCAAGTCAGCTTCTCATCAATGCGTAACCCAATAAACTTGGTGGAATAAAATTAAGATACCCTCACATTAATAGCATCATCAAAAAGTACGACTCCAGGTAATTAGTCTCTTAGGGAATTACTAAAAAGCATATAGTTTGTCTTTTGAAGGTTCTTATTCTTCTTCCATTGTAGTACATCCCCAGAGCTGCCAACCAGTACGATTTTTATCGTATTTCGTACGAATTTTAGAAGTAAATACGACAATAATATTTTGCCTCAATAAAATACGAATCTTTAAAAAAAAAATTATTGAAAGATGTTGTGTGTGTGTGCCATTTTCAATGGCGAATTGCCCATTCTCTCTTGTAAATTTTCCTACAAGCATCTCACATCGGCAATTTGGGGATCTTCATTAGTTCATCGAACACACAAGTCATGACGAAATCATACATATTCAACCAATGGTCTATACACAATTTTCTTCCTGTATGTAGGAACTTATGCAATTTGGCAACCCCCGCCCCCCGCCCCCCCCCCCCAAAAAAAAAATATATATATATACAGTTTCGCAGTGAGAAAGTACTTATCAATCGAAAATAAGATTTTTCTTTTGAAAATAGGATTTTTTTTTGTGGAAAAGAATACGATTTTTGTTCAGTTGGGGTTGGCCACTGTGCATTCCTCTAAAAGAGCATTGTCGTACTTTGTGCAGAAAAGGGTTCAAAGACAACTTATTTGCACGGATCCACAAAGTAACTTTCTTCAATTCACTATTGTTAAAGTAGCCTACTCGGCGGCCGGGCGGCGAATTTTTAGCCAATTTCGCCCGGGAAACGCTTCTTTTTAGAGCATCGCTCGATCGCTGCTGATGTTTTAGCGCGGAGTTAAAATTCGGGCGGCGCCTGCTCACTCGCCGCCCAAAGTACGCTCGGTGCCCTTCCGGGCGGTCGCCGCCCGGGCTCCGACCTATTCGAGCGTTCGCCGTCGAGCGGTCAAAAACCGAAGCCGCTGGGGCTCTACAGCGCCTGCTCGAATTCTTCACCAAAAAAAAATCGTTGGGCGATGCCTAAATTCTTGCGGCGACTGACCAGGCTACAAATCGGTCGGTCGCTGCTATGAGTTGTAACCATAGCTTAAAACACAACTGCAAACGGCGCGGTACTGCGCCTACATAATTCTACTAACCGTTAGCCTAAAACCAATGAGCCGTCCGCGGTGCCCTGAATGCTCATCTGACCGTAAATAAATGCCTAAAACCCATGAGCTTCATGGGGCACAGCCCCCTTGACCCCACGCCAGTTAGTGACCTGCCAGTATCACAAATAAGGTATCAAAATATGCCCATCTGACCATAATTAAATGCCTACAACCAATGAGTTTCCAGGGGCTCCGTCCCTTGACCCCGTTAGGGCTTTGCCCCTGGACCACACGCCAATTTTCACTCCATTCGCTTCGCTCGCTGCTCTCTACCAGATCGTAAATACCTTAGCCCCACCCCCTACTTTGAAAAACGTTCCGCGGGGCCGGCATGTAACATGTTATGGTGGCCATGCAGATTTTGTTTTACCCCCCCCAAAAAAAAAAAACGTTTTTGCTCATTACGCCACTGCCTACACCTAAATCTCAACTGCAACTCTCAGCCTAACACTAACCCGAATTCTAACCCTAAACCCAAAACCCAACTGCAACCCTCAGCATGATTTTAACCCTAATCCTAACCCTAAACATAAAAATTATTTTAAAAAATATGCTTTTCATAATTTATTTATTTGTAGGGAAATTACCTGACCCAGAGTAAACCTATTGCTTGTGTGTCAACTCCGCGAAAAGCAAAATTGTTCACAGTAAATATTTCAGCTGTCAGTAGGGAATTTTATGCCTGCAGTTTTGACCAATCAGAGGCCTAGAATCTTTATATGCGGAATATTAATAATACACATTCTATCCTTAAACCTAAGCACATCTACGACAATTTCGATTGAATAGGGCTTTCATAAGATTCTACTTATGTCAAGGTATGTGAAACTTCCGACATCCTATGATTACAAAGTGAAAAATAGAAATACATATAAATATTTGTATGGAAACCGAACAATGTTACCAACATTAAATCACTATTTCATTGACAGGTAGTAACATGTATGAACAAAAGACATTAGACATATATCTACATCGTAATTGGTAGCGATGAAACATTAGCGGCAATATAGATTTACCATACTGAACAGTATTACAGATTTAATAGAGGTGTCGTGGTATAATGCAGTGTTTTTCAACCTTTTTAATAGTCACGGTGCCCTTTCAAGAGATAACAACTTTTGCCTCACCCTAATCCCACATTCATAAACAGAAAATTCATTTCCATCACTGCGGTACACGCCAAGTGCCATACAAATTTGCGTGCGAGGGACCCCCCCCCCCCCCCCCCCCCAGAAAGAAGAAATTGTCAGTATGGTATAAATGTTAATTTGTAAACAAAACACATTAGATAATAAATGATTATATGTATGTGAGCACCTTGCTGGTAAATACATGAATAACAAAATATTCCGTCCTCTCGAATCACGAATATGAGGATATTCGGGCATCTCGTTGTCAAAAACCATCCTGTTTCTAATTGTTCCGAAAGATTGAGGCGAAAGAGCGTGGTAAAAAAGTCATTATGATATGAAAAAAAATGTATGGTATATTCAGAAACCTCGCTATCAAAGTATATTCTGTCGCCTCCTTGCCTAATTATATGGGTAATCAGGCACTTCAATGACTAAAATCATAATATTTCTACATGTTGCGAACGAGGAAGGAAAAAAATAGTCACCAGTTTGACATCTTGTTCCCCTCCAGCCAGAATTACAGCTACAACTGTATGCATTCTGAAGATTGTTACAACGACCTCCATTAAGACACGGGTTAGACGAGCACTCGTTCACGTCTGCATAGAAGGAAACGTCAATAACAAGTCAGTCTAGTTATATGACAGTGTAGAGAATGAATAAATGCAATTGATAATTTCGTGGATCTTTTAACACATTATCTGCTCAGACTTGGGGGAAAGGGAATATAGATGAAAACAAACAAAATATTGATGCATATAGAAAACGTGTGTTTGTCCCTCAAAAGTATTTTTTTAAGAAGAAAAAAAGGAGAAAAACCTGACTTACAACTATATCATAGCAAATATGTTCGATAACTTCGTAATATTGATATTATATATGTCATTGATTTCCTTCAGATACGAATATATAAGGTGCGTTTCATGTAGTTTATTGTCATACATTATAGTGTATTGAAATAGGCCAATCTTGACTAGCTATTGCTTTTTGTCGGCTCCATTTACCAAGTGTCATGCTGACTTACAGGTTTGGGTTTTAAAAATGTAATAAAATGAGTAAGAGGAAACTTCTTCTATTTTGAGTACATACCTCTTTACAGAGTAGTATCGTACTATACTGAGGTGTGTGCAGGTGGACCATTACACCGGGGTTTCCCCCTACTCCTATACAAATAGTGCAGTGGGTTCTTAACGTACAAAGGTAGCGACTTTTCTCTACACGAGGCCTCAATTGAACGTCCTATCCGAGGAAATAGGGATGCATTTCTATAGGTATGAGAGGACTTCACAGGATGTCGAAGTCGATTGTTATAAGTTAGTCCATCATGCGTATCGACAACAACCCCAATTCCCTTGAACATGAAGCCTTATTTTTTCGTAATTTTTCGTCTTTTTCATCGTAGTGATAAGGCAATTTCATTAGAAGTTTTAGTTGTAGTAGTAATGATAATGATAATTATAATTATAATAATAATGATATAATAATAATAATAATAATAATAATAATAATAATAATAATATAGTTGAAGAAGAGAAGAAGAAGGGGAAGAAGAAGAGGAGGACGGAGAAGAAGAAGGAGGGAAAGAAGAAGAAGCAGAAGAACAACAACAAAAGAAGAGGAAGAAGAATAGTGGATAAATGCAAAATAACAATAAACAAGGGCTCGATTGCGCTTATTATAGTCATTCATAAAAGGGCTCGGTTCATCCAGTTTATCTTATGCACCGCCCTTTCGATATACAACATGATTACAGTAGTCTCAATGTAACTTACCAATACAAGGGGGGCCTACGAACCCCGGACAACAGTTAGTCACAGACCTATCGGCCGTACGATAACGTGTTCTACAAGAAACCAGTCAAAAGAAGCTCATTTTAATTGAACATCATTAACTTGACAATCCATTTTTCACATGTAAATAAGATAATTGATATTTTTGTGTGGAAAACAGTAGGGCATGTTAAAAAATCTTTGCCTTCGGGTCGTAAAATTTGTTGTTGTTAACAAACCATTTCATTCAATTCAATTATGTTGTACATTGCATGCCCCAAAATGGAGTTAAAGCAGTCAGTGTTTGGGTCATAGAAAAAAAACGAACAAACAAAATGTTGACATGAAACAACACACAGAAATGTGGGATGGGTCTAGGTGGACGTTGATGGACAATGGATCCACCCCCTAACAAAATAAGAAAGTCCGGGGAAAGCGCTATACTGTGTTGAAATAGAGAAAGTTAGAGAGAGTAGAGGGAAAAGGGGGAGAAAGAGAAGTAATGGAAAATGAGTGAGTTAAAGTCTAGTAATCATACAGAACTGGAGAGAGAGTGTGTGGGTGTATGTGTGTGTGTGCATGTGTGTGTGTGTGTGTGTGTGTGTGTGTGTGCGTTGGTAGTTGGTTATATACTGAAGCACCCCCCCCCCCCCCCAAAAAAAAAAAAAAAAAAAAAAAAAAAAACGTGTTTATTGTGTGTGTGTTTTTGGTCTGGGGAGATTCGTCTCGTGCAGAGTGAATACATCTGACACATGAATATGGCATTGATAATTTATCTGGTGCAAGATTGTAAAATGTAAATCTTCAAACATCATAACGTACACCTGCCTGTTCTGACTTCTGCGCATTTGTAAATATTTATACTTGAGCAAGTGATTGAAGAAATGAAAACTAGAACGAGCTGAATTACGAGAGATAAAGGACGGCTAAGAAATGTCGAAAAGAAGCTACTACTAGCACTATCACCACTACCACTACAAATGTTTTTTTATATTGAAAATTTTAGAAGTATATCAGGACCAGCGATTTTCTTGAGAATTAACAGAAAACTATAAGTAAATAACAATAAACAATAACAGTAGGTAACTTGCCTGTATCTTGTACAACGTTGCAAGTTTAAGAAGCCGCATCTTGTTGTGTACCTCTGACTGTAGGCTTGACTGTAAGACACAGTAGTTGCATAGGAACTGCATCGAATAATTTAAAATAGGAAATAATCTCTTAACTGTAATTGTTATGATTTTTGTTGTTGTTAAAATAATACATACAAAGGTGCGCTATTTTTCACAATGTACCTTATCCTTCCCCATATGAATATATATGTATGCCTTTAGCTCAACTTTTACTTTATTTATCTTTTTTTTTACAAAATGCTTTCTGTGATTTTAAAACAATCTTCTGAAGAAATTCGTAAGTTAGTCATTACCAGAAGTAAAAATGTATTTTTATCTGTATTACTCACACAACAGAATTCGATAACACTACCATGACATCATAATCATATATTTCTATCCCTATGGACCCCCCCCCCCCCCCACACTTGTTGTTGAATTAAACTGGAACTTATTTTGTTATAGAAGCTGTGAGGGATATGTGATTTGTTTTTGCTTTTTCATTGTGATATTGTTGGGCATAACTTTGCGTTCTCAGAGAATGTTACTGAAATTTACAACAATGACAAATATAACATTTTAAAATAAATGTCAAGCTGTGTTTTATTGATGAAAAAAAATCGATGGATTAGATAAGTACACAATCATAACTATTCGGTGGTAAGTGCTTTATAAGCAACGTTATTATTATTATTATTATTTTGAGTACTTACGAGTCCCCTGACGAGCATGAACCGTGAATAGGTGTGACCAGTGATGCCATAGTAACCAACACCACCAGCGGTGGAAGAAGGCCCAAAGCAACCATGGCCATTATCATCGAAGTAGCACAATGAACTAGAAATTAAAGTAATCGACATGAACAATCATCAGTGAACCAAAACCAGTTTTGTATTACTTTCTACGGTTACTGGATGAGTCATAATCTCACTGTTTTTTATTATATTGTTTTCATTAATTTTTTCTTCATCCTGCGGGCTCTGCAATTGTTATTACTCCATTGTTTTCAAGTAGCCTACTTCTGGGTTGAGAGGGAACATGTGGACAATCACCATGCCCAATGATTTAAGCAGTAGCCCTGTACTAACTAGATAATTAACGAGCCTTTTGTATTAGAGTCAAGAGTAGTCCTCACCAATATACCCCACTGCTCTATAATGTAATTTGGATATACAGAAGCTGATAAATAACTAATTGACGTTTGAAATGTTTTTGTTTTAATGTTCCCAACTTATGCGCAGAAGATTTAGCATAGAGGGAGAGACGAGTAAATATTCTCATGATTAACGACGATTTATATACAGGTTTCACCGTATATTTTAACACTTTTGTCAATCATACTTTTTCATTCAATTACGTCAACAAATTCTTTACCTTGCACATCTTATAGTCAATGTCGTATCTGGTGATTCATTTTTTGTTAAATTTGTACAATCAATTTTATAATTTCGCATCCAATTTCGTCAAAGTCAAATCAACAATGCCTCGCAGTCAAAATGCTGAATTGTGCATGTTTACATATACATGAGCTCCATTACATAACATCATATTTCATTTGTTACAATCATTCAAACAATATTGGTAAACATAACTCATGTGTAGCTAAATAAAATCAATCACTATGTACTATTTACATTTTATTAAAATTCACAATAGCAATAACAATTATCGATTAAAAACAATACAATATAAACTAATCAAAAAGCTAAACCAAGAAGTTAGCAGCTGGTAACTTCTTGGTCGAACACAAATTCCTTGCCTCTTTCATCTTATGGCTACGCATGGAACTGATTTACTTATTCTAGTCTTGTTCAGACGGAGGCAAGTTACCCTGGGGTGAAGGTCGTTTGAACAGCTAGTCGGGGGAGTAGTGACCGTCTGAACGATGATCGTGTTAGCTACACCTACCTTTCCCCCGACCTATTTACTCCTGGAATTTCCAGGAGTAACTTGCTAACCCCCCCCCCCCCCCACTCCGAGAACGGACGGACCCCATGCGTGTTACCAAAATGTCCTTTTCGTAACAAAAGAAAAAGGTCGACCCGTATTGACTTTACACACCGGACTTTTGCTGAAAGGGGGGGGTGCTGAAAAAGGCTCGTATAACAAAAGAAAAAGGTCGACCCGTATTGACTTTACACACTGGACTTTTGCTGAAAAGGGGGGGGTCGCTTGGAACACGCGTATGCGTACCCTAAATAACACTGAGTGGGGGGGGGGCGGGCTAACACGACTAGAGGGTAGCGTAAGTTGGCCGTTTGGATGCCCTCACTTATACCAGGAGTATTTATGACCTTTCACGAGCCATTTATACACAGAGTTTGGTCAACTTGGTTTCACTGGGTCTCTTGTGTTGTGCTTGCCCAACAAAGCAGTAGTCGCCATACTGTGTCCACCCCGAACCGGGTTGGCCAAACTCTGTGTATAGATGTCTCTGCGTAAGTTACGCTTGTCAGTGGAAGGTCATGTGAACTTAAAGTAGATATTCATTGATTTAAAAAACTAACTTTATTTCATTATTGCAAAGTTGAAACTTTGATTCGACAAGGTTATCAAAATTCAATGCTTGGAAACATTCGAAGTAATGATTATTATAAATTATAAAACGCTTAAATACAGCCCCGGCATAGCACCTGAAGAACTCTCCGAACGCTGCAGAGATGTGTGAGATCACAGTATGGACATGACTTGCACAAGCAGACGATGTCGCATGACATCTCACACATTTTCAGTGCCTGTGTTTTCATCTTATCTCGAGTTTTTTCTCTTACTTCACTACCGTCAGGCTAAATTTATAATATATTGCCTCACTCTAAACCCCGCGCATGGTTTTATTTTGATGACAAATGCAGCGATACAAAAATAAAGGAATCTGTCGCTTGTAAACAATTTAAGACGCCATTGAATATTCAGCTGCACACACCGCGGTATGTTCGGCGTTTCAAGAGGGAACAAATGCCGTCCTTAATATCATTCCGGGTGTTTTCAATTCGAAAGTCTGGTTTCTTTGATTGTTAATTAACCCCTATCCTGTGTGTTTACAAGCAAAAGATTTTAGTTATCGGAATCGGGTCATATCCCTTTTGAATGGTTTGACATGCCATCACATTTATATACACTAAACTCATTATAATTTGACAACTAAAAGCTTTGCAATTATGTTCATTCTCTATGGAATGTCGTCTGCTTGGGCAGTATTGGTCCATATAGTGACGTCATTAAAACATCGTTATTTTTCCGGCGAATCTCTCGTATATCCCAGCTGCTATGCAGGTGGTTGTATTTGTATTTTTATAAATCACCCGATATGTATTTGACCTAAAACTTGTACGATGGCCATATGTTAGCTTACCAGTTTCTAGTCATACATTAGTTGACATATTTGTGATTTTCTTTGAATTTCACCTTTAATCATGGCAGGTTGGTCCGAGTACAAGCGTGTGGACAACTAATGGTGTAAGTGAAATATACATGAGGTATTTACTGCTGCAGGGGTTAACTAACGCCGACTAGCAAAACCCCGTTTGAACAAGACTATTGCCTGTCACATTAACCACGATTTTTCACGCATTTCCTATTGTGTCGTGACGAATAACTTCAGGGCTCCTGGTGTCCCCAGAATGTAATATTGGTTGAATTGACAAGTATCTTTACTATAACACACTTACAACTGTATGTAGAAAGAAAATACATTATCATACTATAGTTGATGTTCAGCTTGAATCACGTATGTTACATTTGGTCCCTTGAAATCAGATTTAAGGTACCTGAGATAAATTATTTGGCTACCAAAGCCTCATACCCACATGGATCAATCCATATTGATACCGAAATAGAGATTTGCAGTGATCCTATTACACCAGAAGATAGTTGAAAAAGGTCTTTAATTCAATTTCAATTTTATTAAGCCAATCATTAAAAACAATTTACACTCACACTGGTACTGGTACAATTATAA